ACCGGAAGTTAACACAAGAAAATGCAGGAAATCTATCCGCAGCACCCAAGACATAGATTATTTAGTCAAGAGCCTAAACCCAACAGCAATGTCCCACATGAGTCCAGATAAAAACCTGAGCTCAGGACAACACCTCCACGAGTCCAACTGGAAGTCCAGAGCCCACAAGAAGGACTCACGCCAGTCTCTTTTACGGATCCGTGCCAGGAAGAGCCAAGGGTCAGCGGTGGAAGCCAGAAAGTCTATGCCAGCAGGATGAAGGAGCTGTGCTAGTGGGATGAGGGTTCTACGCTGGAGCCGAGAAGTCACACTCACAGCAAAGAGCAGGGCTAGCCTGAAAGGCACCAAAGCTGTCCTCAGCGACACAGAGGCCCCAAGCTCCTCTGATGACAAGCACAGTTGGGTACGTGCTAGGAAGCAGTGTGACGAGTTCATCCTGGAGGCCAGGAAGCAATGCTCGATGTGAAGACCAAAGCTTCTCCAGGAGAACCAACAGCTCAGACAGCAACTTGTAGGAGAACCCACAATGCCTCCTTAATGCCTCAACCCCCCACACCTCCCTTCTCCACCTATTTATCCTGGCAACCCTCCTCAGGTGGAGCATCTTTGCTCAATGCCATGCTGATATAATCCAGCTGGCGTTAAGTTGATCACCAGTTCTCAAACCATAACAGTACTGAAAAGTATCAACACTGTTTTGTGATTCTTTGGTTTTAGTTATTGGCATATACAATATTTATAGATGTGGGTAATATAAAATATACTAGCTGGGTAGTAACCAAAAAAATTAAGCTGAAAAACCACATATAAAAGGTTTTGAAAAATACCATTCAAGGTTGGGTGTAGTGGCACATGCCTGCAATCCCAGCACTCAGGAGGCTGACAGAAGAATTGCCACAAATTTGAGGCCAACCTGGGCTGCATAATGAGTTCAAGGCCAGCTTGAGTTATGTAACGAGATCCTGTCTAAAAACCCAAAAACCAAACCAAACCAACAAACAAAACCACTGTCTAAGATTTACCTTTTCCCATTGTGAAGCTGGAAGAAACTTAAAAACCAGAGAAACTGACTCATCCAGGGCAGGAATAGTGACAGATGAAAGATTTGAATTCAGGTATCCTAACAAATGTGATGTTCTCTGAATAAAAGTCGATTAATTTTCTAGTTAATGAAGACTGGACATTGTGGATTTAATTTATTTGTAAGTAAAACTGTGAAAGATAATCATGTGCTTGTCCCTCTTTTTGATCTCAGCAGTCAGGAGGAAGCATATTGGTTTTCTTTTTGCTTTTCATTGAGATGAGCATTTTTTTCTTTCTTCTTCTCAATGCTGGGAAGGAAGCCCAGGGCTTTGTATATGCTAGGTAAGTGCTCTATCACTAGGCCATGTCCCCAGCCCAAATGCTGTCTGTTAAAATTTCTTTTCTTTGGTGGAGAAATTTAAGATTATCTATCTATCTATCTATCTATCTCTCTATCTATGGTTATGTTTACAAGTAAAGAATAACTAGCTGTTCTGTATCTAAATTAAAAGGCTAGATAATTATTTTCCTTCATATCTCTTAAACATCTTGAAAAATAAACACTGGAGCATGTTTAGAGGATTTATATCTGAACTTGCGGAACTGTTTGGTGAACCTTTACAGTCCACTATGGCTTTATGATTCTATTGGATTTACCTTTGAAATCAGTCTGGGTTCCCTTTATTTTTTTCCAGAATTTTTTCTCTTTACTTCACATAGTATTTTATAGTGATTTCAGGAAGGTATAGTGAAGAATTTCAGAAGAAGAATTGATAGATCTGGGTCCTGAGTCCTTGTCACCTAATTTATTACTATTGAGAGGGGTAGCAAGACCCATTACAACTTTGGGTCTTAATTTCTTCATTTGAAAATCAAGGAAGAGAATTTAGATTGCTGTAATCAGTTGGTGCTTTCTAACCTTACGAAGGCTAGGAGTTCACTTTCAAATGTGATAAAAATCATGGCCTACAAAAATCCGTGTATGTATATAGAGACGAATGCTTTGGGCAACATTTTATGAAGTTCCTGGATTTCTCTAACTCTTTAATCATGGTTTCAAAACTACGCTTTAAGAAATTTCCTGTTTATCATACAATTTGGCCGATTGTCTGCATTTCCTCTTTTGAACTTCTTAAGGAATTCTTACTTTGTCTCCTTCCTTTTTCCCTTGCACTTCCCCAAAGATAGCCTCCTACTATAGTTCAAGGACTGGTAGGCCTGGAAGGAAACTTGATCAGTCATGATCTTTATCTCACTTCCTTCTGGTCTCTTACCTGCACTTACATACTTCTTGTTTGTCAATTCAGTAACTTGATAGTGTTTTTTACTTTGAACATTGATGTGGGCAATACAGCCATAAAATCCATATTCATATAGGTGCTGTTTATTATTTCATTCTCCATCTTTACTGAGAATTTCCTTGGCTAAGGCAAGATGCTCTATGCCAAAGGTATGATGGTAAGCTAGATGAACATTGTCCTTGCCTCTATATTATTCCAGTGGAGACACCAACAAAAAAGCAATTATCAAAAACATCCAAAGATTTTGTCTTGCAAAAACAAAAACAAAAACAAAAACAAAAACAAAAACATGAAAAAGCTTCCTCCCAGTTGAGGTGTATAGTGAGAAAGAAGCATACAAGGAGTTGATGCGGAGAATTACAAGGTAGAAATCCATTTTAAAAAGAGCAGTCAATGGCACCTGCCTGACAAGTGTAAGGTCCTGAGTTCAATACCAGGAACAAAACAAAACAAAACAAAGCAAAGCAAAACAAAACAAAACAAACATAAAAAGAGCAGTCAGGAAGGCTTCCTAAGAAGGTGACTCTTGAACAGTGGCTAAAAGATAGGAAAGTGTTTGCCGTGCAAAAGGGGAAGAAAAAAAGTGACTGTCATGTGCTAAAGTTCTGTGCCAGGAAAGTTTGGGGAACTGAAAGAAGAACAATGAGCCTGGAGCTTAGTGAGTCAGAGACAGAGTTGGACAGATTACAGTAGCTAAATCCAGTAGGGCATTGTAGGACACGGCAAGGGGTTTGACCACATTCTACAGGGAAATGTATCCTAGCAATTGCACGTAGAGACTTTGAGGCCAGAGCTTGGACCTCAGCACCATTCTTTCTATCTGTAAGTACCCACTACTGCTGGCCTTACCCATCCTGGAGGGTGTTTGGCTATTTGGTCTGCTTCTGTTGTCAACGTGACACGAAGCTGTGTCTGAACTTTGACAGACTTCTTGCAGAGCAACCTGCCTTGCCTTGTACCTTGCCTTGAGTCCACACTGTGCACTTGTCATCCTTTGCCCAGGTGCATTCCTACTGGCATAAAGACCTATTTGTGGCCACAAGTGCAAGGAAGTTGAGCCTTGTGGGCTCTACTCAGTGAGAGAGAGAGAGAGAGAGAGAGAGAGAATCAGTTCTCTTTCATTCAAATGGAGGGAACTGAGATAGACATGGGATGGTGGTAGAGGTTGAGGGACTCAAGCAACCAGTTGTACCTGATGCCATGCTATTGTTCATCTTGATAGGATCCCACTTTGCGCTGCTGTCCTTCCTTGCTTCCCCAGACTGCACTCCCTAAGGAAGGTGTAGGCCACTTGCGTTCCCTGAGGCCCCTTGAACAAAAATGGCGTCTCAGTGTCTAGCTGCTTCTTGGGGTAAATGTAACTTACAATAGCAGGACATGCATAATAGGGGTAAATATGAAATAAATTAGTATAGAAAGTATTCTTAGAATGGTGCCTCACATGTAGTAGATGTCGTATGTGTGCTCATTTTATTACTATAGTTTATTCTAAGTGAAATAGGAGCCATTTAAAAGTTTAAGAATATCATGATCTGATCGGCATTCTCCCCCAAAGTATTTTTATTGCATGCCAGAAAATGGAGATGAAGAAAAAACACAATTTCAGAATATCACAGTATACCTCTGATCCTTGAACATAAACGTTTCTATCAAAAGAAGTTACAACTCAAATGATGTTGATACATCATCAGGATCCTATTTAGCTTTTCTTAATAAGTGAAGTCAATCATCACACTGAATAAATAGGTCTCCCAGTGTGAGGCCACTCAGGTTCACAGGCTCTGTTTAGTCTTGCCAGGTTATAAAAGTGGGTACTCTCTGTGAAGAGAGCTTCACCCTTCCAGGCATCTTATATGATAGAGCTGAGAGTTGATCTTGCCTCTTGCCATGGGTCTCTATAGAGGTGTTCCTGTAATATTGGCCTTTCTTTGATGGATAACCCATTTCTTCATTCCTTTGACCTCTTCTGTGGTTCTTTTTTCTTTTCACTTGTACTCAAGCTTTTCCACCTTTGGAAGGGACATTAGGTTTGTTTCATCACCATTCCTGTTTATACTGCAGGCAGCAATACTAGGATAGCAAGTGTCTCCTGCTCATTTTCCTATTGGGACAGGGAAAGATTACTCAAGTACGGAACTAGTGGGCTATATTTACACCATGCAGGCCAGCTGCTCTCACTGTTAACCTCAAATTTACCAGATGGGAAGGAGACACCACTCACCTCCATTAGGCCCTTAGATACTCTGCCATAAGGTTTAAACACACAGTTACAATTTCTTGCTTAGAAATCATGCCTGCTTCCAGCACTTGTGGTTACAAGACCTGATGCCAGAACTCCCTCTTCCCTTTCACCAGATGATATCCCTCCACATAAATTATTGTCTCTTTATCTTGGAAATGTCATCCCTGTACCAAGCAGCTCTAGTTGATCAATGGCGACTTGTTGATAGGGCACTAAAGAATTCAGCAGTTCCAGAGTCAGGCAGGGGGGTATGGATGGAGGTTCCACTTTCCCTTGCATTCTCCAAATAGCAGGATCATCATAAAGGAAACAAAGGACCCAGATAAAGAGATGGATAGGGCAAGGATTGTAACACCACAACCCATGTGGCTCTTGAGGTTCTTGGGGTGAAGAACCATGAGAGGATGAGAAATAAAGAACAGAAAAAGCTGGGGTCAGGTGGAGCCCTTAGCCTCCTGATGGGAGGAAAGAACTGTCCCCTCACTGCAGGGGCATTTATTTATACCTTTTAGCAAATACATGTCACATGACACCCTGTTGTCCTAGCAACCCACTGTTTAGCAACCCCACTGTCTTGGGGCTGGGTGTTCTCTGGACTGAAGCAGCTTCTTCACGTGGCTTGCTCTTTGTTCTTGGGATGGTCATGCTCCAGCTCCATGCTCCAGCCTTGCACATGTGGTCAATTTCCAGTTTCAGTGGCTCCCAACACAGTAGGAAGAGGGGAAGGGATGTCAGAAGGTCCTGTTGGCTTTACTTTCTTTATTATTTTTTTTTAATTTAAAAAAAAAGCAAAACAGAAAAAAAGGGTAGAAATGATACAGAATTAAAAAAAATAACATTAGGAAATAATCTCGTATTGATATGTTACATATCGTTATCTTAGAAGTAGTTGTTCAAGTTACCAAATCAAAGCATAAGAAATGAACAGACAATAAAACAATGACAGCACAAACTATTGTTTGATGAACTATCAAAACAGTAATATGGTTATCTATCTTGCACACTTAAACATTCATGCAATTATATGTGTATACCTAAAGTTGTTCTTTCCTTTTGAGCGCTTTTTCCCCCTTTCATTATTACAAAACGTATTATACATTTTGGATCCTATTACTCTTGGCTCTACTTTCAAATCATTAGCCAAGTGTAGTGGCATCTGAGGTAAGAAGACTGGAAGTTCAGGCTTAGCCTGGGCATCTTGGCAAAAATCTGTTTCAAAAAAAAAAAAAAGGGTTGGGGGTATAACTCAGTACAAAGGCTCAGTTGCCATCACCAACACATATGCACACGCACACAGTGTCCAAACTAGGTGCCATGCTGTACACCTGGAATCCCAGCTGATTGGAAGGCTGAAGGAAGATACCACATTTAAGACCAGCTTGAGCAATTCAGTGAAACATCATGAAGGGGCTGGGAATGTACCTCAGCACTGTAGCAGTTGCTTAGCAGGTGTATAGGCCCTGAGTTTAATCTCCAGTGCCAAAAATAAATAAATAATAGAATAAAATAAAATCAACAGCCCAAGTCCAATTGTGGTCAAGGTAGTTTCTTTAGAAATGCCTCAGCAATGAAAGGTATTCCAGGTGCTTGTTGCCTGGAACAAAGAATCGAACAAGAGAAACCAAAAATGGTAGTAAAGTTTATTTGAGAGGTAAGGGAAGAACCAGCTCTGTAGAACGAACTTGGGCTGAACAGAGAAAATAAAAGCAAAAATAAAAGTGTACCCCAAGAGCCACAGAGTGGGCCACGGTGAGGAGTCATGACAGTGGGCTCCTCCTGGTGTCTTGTCTCTTTTGTACTGTCCACATTTCCTGGGAGCCCATGAGAAGTTCCACATGCAGGGTGTCGGGAATTATTTGGCGCTGTCCTGGGGTCTTGCAATTGACAGGTCCTATCTATTTTTCCAGCCAGTTTTGCTGTGATCTATCTCCTATATCACTACCACATCTCACCAATGCTTAGTCCTGTACCAAGGTGACTGTTCAAGTCACCATCTCTCTCCTCCAGACCATTACGACAGTCTTTCACTGGTTTTCCTGCTTGTGTCCTTGGCTCCGGCAGTCTGAACTCAAGACAATGTCCTGAGTTATCCTGCAGGACCCTCAGATCATATTACTGCTCTGCTTAACATCTCTCAGCAACTCCCCTTCTCATCAGTATAAAATCCAGGGTCTTTCACGCCTGTCATCTGGTCAGGTCCCTCCTGATTTTATCTTAGTCTTTGCCCTCCCCACCTCCACCCCCACTTCTTTTATTCTACCACAGCCTCATTGGCCCCCTGGCTGTCTCTCAAGCATTCCAGAATGAATCCAGCTCAGGACTTTCTGCTCTGTTCCTTCTGGTGGGTATGTGACTCCCACTTATGTCTCCATGGATGCCTTGCTCAGATGCTACCTTCTTGTGAGCACTTCCAGAACCTCCCTCCAGCCCCTCCAACTGAGGTACCATTTCCCCTCCTTATGTCATTTTCTCCTGGATGCATTCTGTCATATTAGGTGCATTAATCCTACAGCAGACACTTGGCTCCCACCCTCTGTCCAGCCTGGGTCCTCAGTTCTTCACCAGCTGAAGTTCTTACCACCAGGGGTTCAGGAGTTATGAGGGAATCTGGATGATATTTCCTTCTGATACTTTGGGGTTTTTTTTTAGTTTGGTGTCTACTAATGCAAGATACAGTTTTTTTAGGATCTTTTGTACTTTTTTTGACATAAACTGAAAATATCACTAAATATTATCTGCAGAGTATTCTCCCAAACTCTACTCCAGTAAATTTTTGCAGCTCTCTTTGTTATTACTGGCTTATTATCTGTATCTCACAGAAATTTTTATCCCTTTTGTTTACTATTGGATATCCAACGTGGGAATCGCTTCTGGCATATAGTGTTTAACCAACAAGCATTTGAATTAGCCCTAAATTAATGGATGGCTCACTGGCTATGCATATGCTGTACATGACTCCTCTGTCCTTAAAGATTAATAATGTAAACCATTTAAGTATAATGCCAACATATTACTTTTTAATAAGTCCACAACCAAAAAAAATAATGCCTTGCATTTACATAACACTTCAAAATATAATATACTTCCACATATATCTCACTTAATCCTCACAACTTTATTTTTCACAGGAAGCCAAATCTGAGAGAAATAGAGCATTTTAGTCAAAGGCACAGGAAACTGAATCATAGAGGAACTAAGTGATTTGCCTAAAGTCCACATGACAGAGCCAAGAATTACACTCAAGATGTTCTGACTGCAAATTTGATGCAGTTTTCATCCCAAAACCTCAAGTCTTTGGTTCTATATTGGCTCAGTAATCTACTTATTCTTTGACCCTGTAGCATTAATGTCTGCCTGCTGCCCTTGGTCAATCAATATCAAAACTCATAATACAGTTCATCAGGTTTGATTTAGTTCTTATTGACTATCCTAACCTAGCAAAACTGGGACCCGATGGATGGTCTGCCAGGTTGAAAAATCAAATTAGGTAGTTTAAGGATGGATGTTCTCAACCTAGTTCATTTGCAAAAGTTTCAATATAGGTTCAAGCTAAAATGTGCAGAACCAAAGACTCTCTAAAACTCAGTCTATGTAGAATTGCATGCAGATAGGGGCTTAACTAAGTTTCAGTGAAATGATTTAAATAAATCATCTTATAGCCTTAAAATTACCATAGCCATTAACAAGGGATAGATTTTTTAAAAAATTGAGATCAATTATAAAGAAGTAAGCACTATCTTATATGCAGTACTAAAATCCTTATGTGAATGGCTGTTGAGTGTGTACTATTAAAGCATAATTTCTTTCCTTCATGTTCATCCATAAGCAAGTATTTAGATTTTCTGGGCTTCTTTGTGAACTTTCTTCACTCTCAGCCAATCATCGTCTTTCTTTTCTTCCATCCCACTCACAGAAAATTCATTATTATCCACTGTGTACTCTGTACTTTCTTCCCCGTGGCTTCCTCTCTGCAACTAGAGGCTGTTTAGGGTTCAAAATCCATTTCTTTGTACTATGACAGATTGTAAATATTCAAAAACTGGTGACTAAGGAAAGGGAGAGGAGTTCCATTCATGACTTGAACCAGAGAAAGGGAGCAGATGTTATCAGATGCCCCATTTTAATGGCATACAAATAACATGACTCAAACCCTTTCAGGTGCATTCTGCATACATCAGAAAGGAGGAGATGAACTGCTGACTTGGCAAAGGGATTGCAAAGGGAGGCTGACTTAGGCTTGCCACCTATAATTACAGCCAAGCCACAGCTTGCATTTTGATTGTCTTTAAGAAAGAAAGAAGGTGAAAAAGAAAGCAAGAAGGGAGAGAGCAAGAAGAAGGAGGAGAAGGGAAAGAAAAAAAAGTGGAAGGTGGGGAAGGGAGAGTGGAAAGGGAAGGAAGGAAGGAGAGAAGGAAGAGAGGGAGGGAAGAGAAAAAAGGGGAAGGGAGGTACAAAGGGAGCTGAAAGGAAAGGAGAGAGAGAGAGAGAGAGAGAGAGAGAGAGAGAGAGAGAGAGAGAAAGGGAGGAAGGACAAGAAGAAAGGAAGAAAGGGAAGGAAGGGAGAAAGACATAAAAAATGTTTTTTCCTTACAGATTTTGTGTTAAACTGGTACTTCTTTTAAAGACAAATTCATGAGAATGGTAGACTAGAAAATGCAAAAAGCACCTAGATTGTAATAAAAGATGTTCCACAACTTTCAAGGAAAGCATTAATTCTAACATTGAATTAAAATGTAAAATGATTAAAAGGAGAACTGAAGGAGGGAAAATGTGAAATGGTTAAGAGGAGAAACAAAATGTCTTCTCAAATTTATACGTCATGTCTACAACAATTTAACAGATGTTTGGTGAAAATTTACCAGGGAATGTTAGGTGCTAATGTTTAACACAGAAGGCCTCCTGTCCTCAAGGATAGCTTTAAAAGAAAGTAAGAAGCATGAAAATGACTATGGTGTAAAGCAGAAGTGCTCTGGCTTGATGCTATTTTAGAGATTTTAAGTTTTAGGGGGAGAGGGAAGAAGAAGGAGGAGTGGAGAGAAAGGGAGAGAGAGAGAGAGAGAGAGAGAGAGAGAGAGAGAGAGAGAGAAAAGAAATAGATCCAGGACAGCCTGGGTGTGTCCTCAGTGACCTGTTTTGCTTCGACTAAGCTTCACCTCCCACAGTTTCTATCACCTCCCAAATAGTCCAACAAATTATGAGCTTATTAATGAATTAATCCACTGATGAACTGAGTCCTCATGGCCCAGTCACCTTAGGAAGGACACTTGGGAGAGTCAGGTGGGGATAACTGAATCAAGGCCTCAGATATAATTGCTTCTCTGTGTCTTCTCTCTGTATGTGGCCTTTATCTTTTTTGACTGTGGAGAAACTCTGTCCCTGCTTGAGAGTCTAGGCCATAGTTGGTTCAGCACTCATACTTTTTGAGTTGTGGGTTTATAGTTTTCTTAATATAGAGATTGAAGGAAAATGAGCTCTTCTGCTGGTCCAGATTTAATGTTTCCAGAGATGGATTCTGATCAACAGGATGGGCTGTACATGTGTTCTTGAACTAGTCACTGGTCCTGGCAATGAGGTTCTGCTTTGGGCAGAACCTACCAGAAAATTATACTTCGGATTAAGTGAAAGTATTCCAGAAATGGCTTCAGGGTTTTTTCTGTTTTTTTTTTTTTTGGGGGGGGGGCAGTAACCAGGGATCAAACTCATGACCTTGTGCTTGCCAGGCAGGCGCTTATGTCTGCTGAGCTAAATCCCTGGCATTTACTTCTGTTTTAAGGAGTCATCTCAGCTACTCCTGAGAGGGAATAGTAAAGAAGACAGAGCCATTTAAATCATGCCTGGGGCTCTGGGTCATTGTATTGGAAGGAGGATGCTAATATCTTTAACAGATAGAGAAATGAGTTTGGTTATAGTGATGAATTTTATTTTAGACATCCTATTTTAAAGATGGTTTCAGGCTTTGAGATAACATGTGAGGATCTTAGAAACTGAGGTCTTTAGCTCTTAGAAGAGCTTGTTAATTAATTAATTACTTTAGTCTTTTGAGATAGGGTCTCATTGTGTAGTTCAGGGCTTTTATTATATAACCTAGGCTGGCCTCAAACTCACAGTGATCTTCCTGGCCCAGCCTCCTGAGGGCTGGGATTACAGGCATGCTCCACCATGCCCAGTGAGAGCTTGAATTTAGAACTGCACATTTGGGAGTCATTAGCACTTTGTTTATGGTGATACTATAAAATTGTGCAAGGCAAACATACTCAAAGGGAAGTGAATGGAGGGCAGAATTTGAATGTTACGGCTAAAAGTTAAAATAAAGGAGTAGACAGATGCAGAGTGAGTTTCACATGACAATGCTATGTTCAAGAGAAGGCAATGGGTAAGAAAATATTACAAAATTAAAAATTTTCTGCAGTTTTCTTCTTATCTTCTTTATCAAGTCAGCAAGTTATGTCTTGAGTGCCTATGAAGATCACTGCAGGATTACAGGGTACTCAGAGAGAGAATACAGGTAACCATGGGCTATACGAGACTGAGTTGCATTAGGGACCAGAACAGCTTTGCTCTGGAAGACCTACCACAATGTAGAAAAAGGAAGGGGCACCTTGCATTGTCTCCCTGGCTCATGGCTTGTGACTTGTGAGAAAGGAAGATCGAATTTACAGAGACACAGTGAAAACACGTAACTTCAGAGGTCTTTGTGGAGAAACGGACCAGTGGAACAGAGCAGTGGATGCCACGTGCTACAACAGCTGGGTTACATAACTGTCACAGCTTCTCAGTAAGCCAACACTCAAATTGCCTTTGTGACATTAACAATACTAGAGTACATTTCCAAAGAACTTGGTTACTGGACTATCTATAGTACATCCTCCTTTCCCAAAGTAACCAAGGTGGTTAAATCTTGGGGCTGTAGTTAGCTATGCTTACGTACATCACTGAAAGGCAATTAAAGAGATCTCTATTACAGCAACAAAGTCTTTACATTATATGCATCCACAAACCTCAGCAGAAAACAAACAAACAAACAAAAAACATGGGAAGAAAAGACAACAAACTGCCTCCCAACTCCCCTGAAACCAACCCAAGGCAGGATAGTATGAGCCAAACACCTGAGTTACTCAAAATCATAGTAGAGGACATTTGAAAATAGGGATTAGAGAAGACATAACTAAACAGACATTGGAGATAATACCTAAAAAGATGCAAGGGCTCTTGAAAGGTACTAGTACAAAACTAGATGTACTCAACAAAATGATACAAAACAAAATTAGAGTGCATGAGAAGATTTCATTCAGAAATCCAGGGGATTAAAAAATCATTGCACTGTGGGCATCAGGATGGACCAATGTGAGGGCAGCATTTCAAAACAAGAAGACAATGGTGTCTTCAAAGACCAACTCCTAGAGACCTTAAGAACAGCAAGAGAAATGAAAAACTGGTTCAGAAACTGCTAGATTATCCAAATAAAACTAATTAAGGATAAATGGAATAAGTGAAAAATCAGATGACAACACAAGTGGCATAAAGAATTGGTCCATAGGTATAATGACAGAAAAGTCCTCAAATATAGAGAAAGAAATATACATACATGATGAAGATGATCATTATATATATCTAAATTTTACCAATAAAACTAATCAAATATATATATGGCTGTCTTGGTTATTTTTCTCTCATTGCTGAGACAAAATACTCAACACCCAAAATTAAGGAAGGAAAAGCTTACTTAGCTCACAGTTTGTGGAAGTTTCAGTCTACAATCAGCTGGCTGCAAAGCACCGTGGCATGGCTAAAAGGCCAAAGTTCAAGGTAACAGAAGATAGCAAAAGCAGGAGGAGCAGAAGGCTAGCAGGATGCAGCAAGCCTCTTCTCCTCCTTCATATGGTAAGCTACTACCTCCTGGGGAGGGTGTAGCACTCACACCATCTCCAGTTTCTTCCTCTTATGCAGGATGAGGATGTTTACAAAATGAGGAACCTGGCCCCCTGCTGATTCATTTCATTAAGCTTCTGAATTTTTCACGTTGACACAGTGTATCAACCATTACAGTGGCATATAGAACACCAAACTGTCATGACCAAAAGAGAACCACTCCATGCCACATTGCACTCAAAATTCTAGAAGTCTATCATAGGGATGACAATCTTAAAAGTTGTTAGGGAAAGGTAGCAAACATATATTAGATTAAACCCACTAGAGTTACAGCAAGCTTCCTACACAAACCTTATAGTCCAGAGGGCTTGGAGTAAAGTGTTTGAAGCCCTAAAAGATAACGCCTTTCAATCCTGACTTATATATCCTGCAAAACTTTTCTTTACATTTGATGGATAAATAAGGTATTTCAATGACAAGACATTTGTGACCATAAAAAACTACATATAAAAACTAAAAAAAAAAAATAATAATAATAGACTACCCCACATTTAAGGATCCAGTTAAAAATATTTTTAAATATTTCTCACATGAAGAAATATGAACTGCTAATAATACATGAAAAAATGTTTGACAGCACTAGCTATTCAAGAAATGCAAATTAAAACAACAATGAGATTCCATTTCTCTCCAGAAAGAATGACTACAATCAGGAAATCAGTCAACCAATAGCAAATGCTGGCCAGGTTGTGGGGAGAAAGGCACACTTCTCCATTATTGCTGAGACTATAAGTGATACAAGCACTATGGTAATCATACAGAGATTCCTCAAACAACTAAAAGCAGGAATTCCCTTTGACCCAGCTATTCCCCTTCTAGTTATTTTCCTAAAACAGTTGAGGACATCATACCACAGTGATAGATGCATACCCATGTTTAGCAGCACAATTCTAATAACTAAATTTTAGAAACAGCCTATGTGTCGACACATCAAGAGATGAATGGATACCAAAAGATATTTATACACAGTGGAGAATCACTCTGCCACTGGAAAGGATAAATTTGAGTCACTTGTAGGAAAATGAATGCACCTTGAGACCATGAGGTTAAATGCAGTAACTCAGCCAAAGAAGCTTAAATATCACATGGTTTCTCTTATAGGAAAAACTCAATATTTATATTCATATATATATGAAGATTTCATAAATTCATATTTGTGAAATTCATATATATATATGAAATAAAAGGCAGAAAATAAGAAAAAGAGAGAAAAAAGAGGCATTGTAAGCCAACGAAGACAATGTTTCTAAAAGCGTGACTTAGTACAATTGTGCTAGAAGTTTTATATGTTCTTTGGCCTATTTGTCTGGTTTTCAATCTGTATATATGATAGTTAACTTTATAGGTCTTAGATTTAAAGTAGGTGTAGCATGTATGCAATAATATGCCATTATAGATAAGGACTTGAGCATCCTCAGATTTTGGTACTTTTGGCGGTTGGTTCCCTGAAATCAATTCTCTGTGACTATCAGGGGACCATTGTATACTCTGAAAGTGTGAATATATTTCTAGCCTCAAACAATGTTGGGTTTAAAACATATCAGATATGTGAGGTGTGGCGGTACATTGCTGTAATTCCAGAACTCTGAGAGTTTGGGGCAAAAGGAGTGGACATTCCAGCCCAGCTAGGCAATTTAGCAAGTAGTGAAATAATCTCTAAATAATCAAACAAATAAACAAACAAACAAGCAAAGGAACAAAGACTCAAGGGCTGGGGTTGCATTTCAGTGTGAAAACTCTGAGTCCAATTCCTAGTACCACAATAAATTAGTACATAAATGAAATCAGATAATAATAGTTTTTACTTTAAAGAAATAATTCTGCCCCCCCCCCAAAGAATCCTCTTGCTATTTGGGCAATAATTTTGTTGATTTTTTTTGCAAGTCGATTTTCTTTTACAAATGATAAGTGATTAGTAAAAAAATGTGATAATGTGGAAGAAGGAGCACGTCAAAAGAAGGCAGAAAAGCAGGATTTAAGTTATGCCTGGCCACCCTCTCTGATCCCTCTCTTTCCCCTATATGCAAACATTTATGCCCTTTGTAACCTTGAATAAGTTATTTTATGTCTTTCTTTCATTTGCAGCAACTAATAAAATGGGAATGACAGCACTTCCTTAGCCCAAGGGCAGGGCTACATGAAGAATTTATTGAGTTTCCTTTTGCTGTCAAATGTATAATTTGAGGATACAGGAGATGGCAGGCTAGAAGCAAGCAGCATTCACAAGCTACTCTGGGATATTTGTCCAAAGGAAGGTACACAACTCTGTGAGGAGACAGGGGAACCATAGGAAATTTTTGGGTTTTAACTTGAAGAAGGTAGTGATCAGGCAAAACCAAGAATTGTTGATATATAGAAAGATACATAGAATAAGAGAAGTAAAATAGACTGGCACTGAACAAATGGCTACTCAGTGAGGGCAGAAAGAGAAAGACCAGAGCACACTCTTGGGTGTGCTGACTTTGTTGCTAAACAGATAATGCCTGAGCAGAAAGGAGACTTGAATTCAGTCAAGTGACCAGGGTTGAGACTGATAATTCCCAGCATTTTCTTGCATACCCAATAGCAGAATACATCATACACACACCCACATACCACATCTGTAGAACGAGCAGATAACAAACTCAGATCTGGGGTAGGGCTCCATCTTAAATAACTTTCTCTGCCTTGGTAGGTAGTAAGGGAGATCAGAAAACCCCCACATCTTTTATATCTCCAGGATGCACAATCTACTTTTTTCCAGGTAGGCAGTGGACACTCTACCTAATAGCTAGTTTGGGTCCAGAAGAATGGTGACCTTGACTGGGAGAAGCTAAAATCACAGGACTGGGGGAATTGCCCTAGTGTCTGACTTGAGGGAGAACAGTCTGGGAGTGTCTCAGTGGGATGGCCAGATGCAGACATTGAGCACATTTACAAAAGTAGAAGAAAACATGTTTTTAAAGGATAAGAAGCAAAAAGTGATGGTGGGTAGAGCACTGTGATGAGTTCAGCTTTCCATCCCAGCATAGTTCCTACGTACCTTAGAACCTCCATCTCATTTGGTAGCACTGAGAATTAATAAAGTTGGCAATGTAGTGAATGCTGGAACTTTTGTGTTGTCCAGACCTGCCTATGAGCTATGAGTTGGTGGACAGCATAGGCTTTTCAGGCCCCTCATCCAGGTACATAGAAGACTGAATTGTGGTGTGGGCTAGTTTTGTCCTTGTGAATCTGTCCACATACCCTTCTAAAACTATGGGAGGGGAGATGTCACCCTTTAAACTGCCCTGCATGATTGCTTCTGCTTGGATAGAGGCTGAGAAGGAGAAATCCAGGCTCAAAAAAGATTTTCATGTCCCTCAAAAGTTATTTAACAATATAAGGCCAAGAAAAATAATTTTACCCAGTGCATATACCAATAAAAAGAAAAATATTAGGCCTTGCTTGTGTGTGTTAATACTTTTGCTTCAGTAGTGTTTTACACTAAAAATGATTTCATAGGGTTTTGACACTTTGTATTTCAGCTAGTTCCTTAATTAGATTTAATCTCCCCATGTCTTCTGTAACTTTCCACATATATTCCTCTCCCTTGTTGCCTTTCTTTCCTTCTTTTCTTTCAATCTCAAATCCCATCCCCCTTTTTTGATATATAAATATTGTTGTTAAGACTTTAAACAACGAGCTGGGTGTGGTGGCTCAGGCCTGTAATCCCAGCATTCGGGGAGGCTGAGGTGGAAGGATCATTGTGAGTTCAAGACCAGCCTGGGCTACAAAGTGAGCTCAAGGTCAGCCGGAACTGCACAGTGAGACCCGTCTCAAAAAAGACCAAAAAAAAAAAAAAAAGACTTTAAACAACTATCCTATCCTACATTATTTCTCCCAGTTTATTTTCCTGAATTAGAGAGGTAGCAGAGAAGTTTTAAAACAAAGTATAAATTACATGTTGATATATGGTTGATTCTTTGGATGATTACCTGTAGTTACTCTCTTCTAAAGTAGGGCTAGGAATTGAACCTCTTACTTTTTTTGCTATGTTGTGTTTCATTATTATTTGGTTCTAGAAACTTTTAAATTTCTTCCCTGATTTTTTTTCTCTGATCCACTGATTATTCAATAATGTGTTATTTAATCTCTATGCGTTTATATAGTATCTGTGGCTTCTCTTGCTGTTGACTTCAAGATTTATTCCACCATGAATAGTAGGCAGAGGATAATTTCAACTCTTCTGTATTTTGGAAGAAAATTCTATGTGCTGGTGAGAAACTAGAGTATTCTGTTGTTAGTGAATGAAACACTGTAGATATCTGCTAAGTACATTTGCTCAAACACATTGTTTAACTTTGATTTTTTTAAAAATTTTTTGTCTAGTTGAACTGTCTAATTATGAGATTGTGGTAGTAAAATTCCCCACTATCATTGTACTAGTATCTGTCTGTCCTTCTAAGTCCAGTAGTTTTTGTTTTATGAAGTTGAGTGCATTGACATTCAAAGCATAGATATCTACAATTGTTATCTCTTTGTTGAATTGTAGTGGCCTTTTTTGTCTCTTTTGATCAATTTTAGCTTGAAATCTGCTTCTTGTGAACATAAGATACATAGTCCTACTTCTCTGAGGGCTCTGATTCAATAGAATAATGTTTCCTGTACATTATCTTTTAGTCCATGTACTTCCTTTTAGATGAGTTATATTTCCTGTAGGCAGTACAGTAGTACCTTGGTTTGTGAACTTAATTTGTCTTATGATTTTTGGAAAGATGGCTGCATTTGTGTTTGTGTGGGGAATATGGCCATGCTTGTGTTTACCACCCAATGCGGGGTTTGTGAATGAAAGCAAAATTCTGTGAACTGAATTGTTTGCAAAAAGAAATGTTCATGAACCAGGGTATCACTGAACTCTCCCAATTATATGCATACTTTCCTTTTGTGTTCTTTGATGTTGCTGGACTCTTTGTCTCTGTCCAGGATTCCCACAAGTATTTTTTGCAGTGCTAATTTAGTGATCATGTACTTTAGTA